AACCTGATCTTGTCATTTTGTCAACTTTCTTGGTTTTCCAGCCTGTCATCAACTGAACCAGTTATTTGGTATTTTTTCAACCACTCTGCTCACTGTGGTGCATTTCACTCTCTTGGCTATTTCTGTACAGGAGTAACCCTCTTTATGAAGCACAATGATGCGATGCCGCTGCTCAGTACTGGTGAAAGCAAAGGCCTTCATCCTTGCCCGTAGCCAGAGCTAAATTACATTTCTTGATGCTTTTCATGCCTATTTATATTTGGAGAGTAACAATGTTGATTAGCTCATAGATTTAGCATCTGTGCATTTTGATTGGTCAGCCAAAGCTCGCTGCTGATTGGCTACTTTTGATCCTAACATTCTCGAAAATGCAAGGTGTTTGTTTTAGCACATAAACTCACTCAAGACCTTAAAAAGACTTTGGTTATATTAATAAAAATTATGCATCTCAATCCGACTACAGAAATTTTCATCAAAGTACTAATTTTGTTTGGTTTCTATGAGTGAAAAGTTGTTTAAACATGTAAATACAGCTTAAAACTGAAAGCGTGCAGGACTTTTTCACGCAGCTGTAGATTCTAAAGGACAGGGCATTTTTCAACTGTTATTTATGGAAGCCTTCAATTTTTTGATATCACTTTAAAAATAGATGTTTCAAGGAAAGTGTCATTGCTCTTGAGTATGGTTCTTAGCTGCAAGGTTGTGTTTCATGCCTGCTTTTTTACTTTGGGGCATCTTACAGCAGTCTCTGGTGTCTTTTTCAAATTTGCCGACAAAGAAAGAGGTAGAAAGGTTACATTTGCAACATCCCACTGCTGCATTTTTCTGTCCTTGGTGGAGATAGATAGGCTGGTGAAAGGGACAGGCTGTCTGGAGAAGATCTCTCTCTCTCTCTCTCTCTCTCTCTCTGCTCAGACACTTGCATATCCTGTGGGCTCTGCTTTGTGGCTTAAGTGTCTGGTTTTGTCATTTTGAAGTGCAAAACAGTAGCCTGTATTATTCTCAGGAAGGTCAGTTGGGAGCAGTGTAATAAAATCTGATCAGCAAAATTAAATGAGGAAATTGGGGAAGGGGCTTGAATGGCTTTTTGTTGGGGGTTTGGTTCAGTTGAATTTGGCTCTCTTCCTCTCTTCTGCTCACAATTGCCAAGCTGAAGCCACCATCTTCGAGGGCCAGTGCTGTGGGTCAGTTTTCCAGATGTGTGTGGCTCCTGTTGTTTGGCAGATGTGGTCAAAAAAAGATTTTTGCTATTGCAACGAAGTGGAGGTAATAATGTAGGCTGGTGCAGATCAACTTGCCTAGTAGTTATTTTAGCTTTTAATTCAATCTCCTTATTTTCCAAGCCCATGATAGTTAAAGAATACTATTATCTTTGTGCATTTCTAAAAGTTTTAGTGTAGTTTTCCCCCCCGAAGCTGTTGCTCTTGAGAAGTGTTCAATTTCAATACAACAATTCACAGCCTGCATTGCTATTGGGAACTGTGGATGCTGGAGTACAAGACAGCTGAAGGCACTGGGTTAGGAAAATCTGTCTTAATTGTTCACCTAGGACACAAGTGTCAAACTCCCAGTGTCACGTTGATGACACATGACATATTGCAATGTTTTTCCCTTCACGGAGCTGTGGTGGGCGTGGCCTGCGCGGGACACATCCAGCCCGCAGGCCTCCAGTTTGACACTCCTGACCTAGGACATGTGGAATTCTATAATTTTGAAGGTGCACATCTGCTACTACAAATACAGTATAGAATAATTTGAGATCTTGAGTTTGTATCGAGCTAATGAAACAGAAATACTCTTCTCCTGTGTAAAATTGTTCTTCCTCACCCTGGATGGCAGTAATTACCTTGCTTTCATCTGGAATCACATATATTTTTATTTTGTTTTCTTTTTGTTTTAAAATCCTTTGGAATTTGTTCACCAAGGGGTGCTACAAATCCAGGAACTCCTTGGGAACTCTGGTTATTGTAGTTCCAGTGTGCCCAGAAGATCCCAGTTTCAAATAGGCTACAGAAAAGTACATTTAAAATCTAAAGTATTTTTAGGCCTTGGATTTAAGCCATATGGATTACAAAAGTTTCCTGCTTTCTATTTCTAAAAGGAACTTGGAGGTCTGTTCTTAAAAGTTTTCTTAGAAGTCATTTATTGTCCCTGGCCCTATTTGTTTTTTAACATAAGAGCAACAGCAACTTTTTTTTATAATGTGGTGTTCAGTACTATAACTCAGTTTGACAAAATCAAACCAGAGTGATCCTTGAGTTTGCTTACATTATGTTCCTCATTAAATTCCAAGAGTCTTGAAATTTTTCCTTCTGTTTTACATTAACCTTCATTTGACAGGCCATCTGAAGTAAGATTAATTGCTCTTCATCAATGATTCTCAGTTGTGGTTAAGTTACAAAAAGAATGGGACCTTTTATTTTCCTCCTTGGGATGATGTTGAGAAGTAGCATGAAACTATGTCACTAAGGTTTCATTTTGTGCTTTTAAAGCAGAGGTTCCCAAACTTGGCGACTGTAAGACTTGTGGACTTCAACTCCCAGAATTTAGCAGAGCTGGCTGGAGATTTCTTGGAGTAGAAATCCATAAGTCTTAAAGTTGCCAAGTTTGGGAACCCCTGTTTTAAACAATCATCTGTAGTAACGTCTGAACGCTTTGTTCAGATGGCTCTGGTTTACTTGTCTCTTTCTGGGAGGTCAAGGTGATCTAATGGGGCTCTCCTTTCACTTTATCCCTGCCACATAGTTGTGAGATCAGAAAGACTAAGGCAGTTTACATTAAAAACACAGTGCAAGCGGTCAAAATGCAGAACGTACAGCAATGATATCATGCAGTGGGGGAAGTATATAAAGCCCAGTTTCAGCCATCCCTTACCAGTCATCGCTCCAATTCACAAAAACGCCTCATCCCAAGGCTCATTGGAAAAACAGGTTTTCGATGCATTTTTAAAGCAGGTCAGGGATGTACTTGTTTGCTAAAGTACTAAAGTTACTTGTGTAAGATGTATTGAACACTTAAGATATTTAAGATCCCTTTTTCAAACAAGTAAGTTGCAAATCGTGCAGGACAGCATTGTTGCAGGTGAAACCCAATGAAAATTCACACAAACAACATAGAAGGTTAGATAACAGTTCACATCAGTCCCAGGGATTCGAGTTTAGGGAAATAGGCAATGTGGATGAAGGTAGAGTAGACCACGTTGGCAGTCAAAGAGAGTGTCATTGTGACATTGTCTTCATCTCATTCCCAGCTCATAAACAAGCTAGGATTAACCTGTCCTTAATTGCACCAGTCTTGAAGGGTATTTTTCCCTTTATTCCAGCACAACCTAAAGGATTCCTCAAGGTGGATAAAATCTATCATGGGCTACATTGGAGGGAAATCAGGTGACCCAGCTTGAAGATAAAAAGGATCAGCAGTAGGGATGCTTCACACCGATAGTTTTTCGTTGAGTCCAAATGGGTGAAGAGCAACATAACAGAAAAGGCCCAGAGGAAAAAGCTTATATTAGAGATAGGGACACTATGATTAGGTCTTTTATATGCTTGCTAGGAAATACATAGTAAAAAATAAAGTAAGGCGTTGAGAAAGTCCCCCTATTGAAAATTGTAATAATTAGGTATTTTTAATTTTTTTAAAAAAAAGCCAAGTGAGGTTTGGGTGTAGTTACAATTTTTAACATTTTACAGTAGCAGGTTACATTTTTGTCTCTCATAATTCTGGATTTCTAGTATTTTAGCCTTTTATTTACAACTTCTTTTTCAGAAAGTGAATGTCATCGTTTTATTTTCTAAGAACATCTGGAAAAAAATGTAGTTAATTTTTAAAATAAATTATTAGAAAAGAAAAAGACCAACATTATTCAATATTAAAAATACTTTTAAAATTTTAAAATGAAAGATAAAGCAAGTGATATGGGTATATGTTTTATTTAGGAATGGAGAAAAGCCTTTTTAATTAGAATACTTCTAGCCCAGAAGAATAGACTATAAGAACAGGTCCATGCTGATTTTTTCCATAGTAATAATTTTATCTTGATGGACAATATTATGGTTGGGTGGGGAAGACACGGTTATATTGCTCTTGAACTCAATCCAGTGTTTGCCCACGTTCATATTTACTCTCCAGCTTCTATGTGTGCTGGTCAAAGGAGATGACTGTGATCCTCCTTTGGCACAGCTACTTTTAAAAGGATAAGTACATACTAAATAAAGTAAAGAAAATAGATTTGCAAAGCCTGAACAGCAGGGTATCAAAGACATACCTTGTCTGTCAGGGGAGAACATTGGTGCTTCTGACACACGAGCTGCTGCTTTGACACTAGTGATATGAACTGTTATCCTTTCTCTGAAGCGCACCTTGAAAAATGTGGAGAGTGCAACCTCTCAATTTTCATCAAAACAGGAAAGAAAAAAGTCTAAAAATGTTGCTGTCCTCTATCAATTATAATGGGTGGGGGGTGGGGAATAAAAGTGGTTCCTTGGCCATCAAAAAATTGTGTACCCTTGCCCTGTGGTTCTCGGTGTGTTTCAGATGGCTGGCTCTGGCAAACCCAGAGTAAAGTGTCCCACGGTGTGAACCGTGGATTCTAAGCAACTGCTTTGTTTTTAATACTGGCCACCCGAGGAGCTGTGCCAAGCCAGAATTCTCCAGAGGAGCATTTATAGGCAGACAGATGCTATACAAAGCAGGGGCAGATTGGGTGAAAAGACCTATGGGGGATGCAAATGAAAGGGAGAGGGGGCTGGGGAGAAGGTAGTTGAGACTTGGTCCAGAAGCAGAGCAGGTGAAAGAAAAGAAGAGAGACTTGCTGGAATAGAGAGCAGCAATGCCAGAACCAGGAAGATGGCAATGGTGCAAAAACTTGCAAATAAAGGGGAAACGAATGGTGAATAGCTAAGTTTGTGAGAAGCAAAAAAGGGGGGCAGCCAGGGATAACCACCATAAGCCAATATGGCTGACCCCGCTCCTAATCAATCTTACTTCTCTCCTGACTGCAGGATTCGTACAGAAAGCAAGTAGTCATCGATGGGGAGACCTGCTTACTGGACATCTTGGACACAGCTGGCCAAGAGGAATACAGTGCCATGCGAGACCAGTACATGAGGACAGGAGAAGGCTTCCTCTGCGTCTTCGCTATTAACAACACCAAGTCCTTTGAAGATATTCATCAGTATAGGTGAGTAGAATGATCTTCACCTCTCCTGCGAAGGAGAGCGTGCATCCTGTTTTATTCCGGAAATCTGGAATAAGGAGACACATGGCTAACCCTTTTTTTTTTTCTGCCCATCCTGGAAAAAAAAGAAGAAGCCGCCTCTCCCCTTGGTCTGATCAAAGCAGAAAGCTTCCAGCAGCATTTCTGCTGAGATGCCATCCAAGCAACTTGCTGCTCAATCAGGAAAAGTCCCAGGGTGGGACCATTCAAACATTTGCTGTGACTAGCAGGAGACGTCCTCTCCTGTTTGTTCCCTTTGTCCTTAATTAAGGGTGATGTGCTCTACGTGTTAAGGGAAGGAAACCTGTATTGATTGCCTGTGAAGGGCAAAGAGAGAGAAAGAGAGAGAGGGATGACTAGATTGATTGAGGCTTTGCTAATATTTTTCCAAGGGAAGCTCTAGCAATGTGTGCGCTTCCTCAGGCTGTTTTTAGAAGTCATCAATGGAGTATCTTTGAGTGCCAGGGGCGCTGACATCCTTTGTCCCCCACCCATCTTCATTGTCAATAGAGATGCCCTTTCTCCTGTGCCTGATTTTTCCTATAGATTGTGTTTTAGGACTGGCTGAACCAGAACATCCATCCACAGGCTTCCTTCCCTGTATGTAATTCAGCAAAGGCAAAAAGCCTTGCATCTAGCAGTGCATTCCATTTTAGTCTCAGAGATCTTGTATTGAAACATGTTTCACTGTTGCTTAAGGGCTATTGCATTCGTGGGTATGAAAAAAGAACACCTCGGGGACATCATTAAAATGCAGAGGGAACTCTGTTTATCAGGCAAGGATGGGTTCTCAAAGAGTTATGGGCCTAAAAAAAAGAAAGCCTTGGTAAATGTAGGCAGAATTTAAGTTCTGTGGTTGGTCACAGTCTTTCTAAATTAATGTAAAAAAACAAATAGTTGTTCCACTTCAAGGCCTACAGAGGGAGTCTGTTTTTCTTTTTCTGTCTCTTGTTTTCCTCTACTGGTCTCTAGTGAATTCTTTCCCCATCACACTTAGTCAGCATGGCCATTCTGAAAGTTACAGTTCACTGAATCTGGAATCAAGATTTGCATTAAAGATTTGAAAGAAGTAAGAGTTCTCCTGCATCTCTTTTGCAACACATAAAAGCTATTTTCACTTTTTAATGTTTAAACCAGGGCATATACTATACAGGAAAAATTACATGTTTTTATTTACTCATTGATATGTAGATTTGCTTAACTAGATTAGTCAGTTTTCACCTATGAGCAATTAGGGTGCAATTGCGATAGCTGCCAGATCCAATTCCCAAATTGCTGGGTACAAAATATGTTTCTTCAAGTAAGGCAGGGAATGAAATAGCTAAAAGATTTTAATAGTCTTAAATAAAACAAATAGGAGATGTTTTTCTGTGGCTCACTGCGAAGAAGAGAAAAGAAAACCTACACACAATGAGGGAGAAATATGTCACAAGTATTCCACAAATGGAATGGTAATTGGAATGGTAATGGAGATTAGCATTTTTGTCACTAAGTGATGCGGTTGTAAAGCATGACATCATGTGACTACATTACTCAGGGATGGCAGTCCTGGCCCTCCCCATCGATATTGATAACTGAATCCCAAAGGTTGTTAGGGGAGGACTCACCCCAACCCCACTCCCAGCTTAGTCTCCCCACCTCACCCCCAGCCTTGGTAATGTAAGGACTCCTCTTCAACTCCCCCTCCCATCTATTCCCCCCCCTCCCCCATCTCTGCCCTTTGGGCTGTCCTGCCGTCTGCCACCTCTGCCGTCCTTCCCAAACTGCGCTCTGCTGGCCCTGCCAGCCCCGGCTGGCTTTTGCTGCCATCTTCCTGCTGCTGATGAAATGCACCTGACCTGGACTTAACGTGGTTTCCGTGGCTGTGCCAGCCCTTCTCCCTGAGGATGCTGCTTGTGCCATTACCCAAGTTGCGCAATCCATTTTCGTGTGCGCAGGGCCAGTGAGTGCATGGCAGCAGGGCCAGTGGAACACAGGTAGGCGGGGGTGGCTGGTGCTTGGGGCTGTGGCAGCGTGTGTGTGTGTGTGTGTGTGTGTGTGTGTGTACTGGCTGAGACTGCAGAAGGCCTGGAGCCTCTGCTTCGACCCCAGAGCTGGTGCCATGGAGGATTGCTGCTGTGCAGGGCAGTCGGAAGGGGCAGAGATGGGCTGGAAACAGGTGGATGGGGGAGTTGAAGCGCCCCTTGTGGTAGGCGGGCTGCCGAGTGCCCAAATTTTTGATCCTATGACCAGAGGGGCACTACAGCAGTCATAACTTCAGAGACTGGGCCTCCCTGCCCTTTGTTCAGGGCTACCATAACTTGGCACGAGAGTTTGTAACTGGAGAATTATCTGTAGTCATAGCTTTCCTTCCAGAAAAACTGCTCAAATCACCTAGAAAACCTGCAAGCTTAATGGAAATTAATTGGCTCTGATAAGCCTGAGTATGTACATCTCTTGGGTCAGTGTTCTCAGTGTTGTTGACAACTCATTGTGAAGCAAGGAGCCCAGGGGTGGCCTGTTTGAGTAAAACAGGCCAGGCTTATTCCTTGGAGAGCAAGGGAACCCACCCACCCCGCACCTATAGGGTAGCCAGGTTGGTTGGCGATTTGGATTCCAGGCTGGCTGAAGCTGTAATGGAGTGCCGACAAAGGATTTGTGCTCTATTCCTGGTTCAGGGCAGCCTGCTCAGTGCTTAATTCAAATACTGTTGTAAGAGGAGGTCATCTGTAAAGAAGGTATGATAGTGGGGGTATGATGAGAGAGAAGAGACAAGGAAAAAAGCCCCCCGATATCATAGATACACAGAGTGTCTATCCAGATTATGGGACAGGAGGAAAAGGGCCGTGACTCAGGGCTTCTTCTGTACCATGAGGGTAGATAGCTGGATACCTTTCCCCCCCAATAAAAGCAGCTGGGGAGCAGCAGGTATAGAAGCGGAAAAAAAGATGACTGAAGATAACAGGATTCAAAGGAGAAAGAAAGGATGGTCTTCCCCCTATGATGCAAAATGACCAGGAGTGGCCAGTTGGGAATGGTTAATAATTATAATAAAGAGAAGAGGAATAGAAAGGAAAGGCCATAAAGTGGGAAACTCTTACAAGAGGAAATGAAAGTAGAAACTGCTGGAAGGAGAAGGAATGTCAGGATACAAATAAGAATATTTTTGAACTATGTGAAAACGGGGTGGGTGGGGGTGGGTTAAATCGTCCACACTCACGAGCTTCTGGATCAGCAAATTCTGCTAGAAATGTCAAGGTTGAGTTCTGATAACCACAGCCCTTGACTGTCATGTTTTCAGAAGTTGGAATTGCTGAACATGCTGTCTGTGTCAGGGAAGAAATCACAATGTTAAGAATCTATCAATTTCCACAAAGAGATTAGCCATTACCAGGAAATTATCAGTAGCCACCAGCTGATTATACATGGTTTCTGCTATTTTGTGACCTGCCCTTCGCTTGTGATGGATAGAGGGTTTGGTCATTATCAGTTGTGGTGGGAAATGTTAATTACGAGTAAAAAAATTGGAGCATTTCAAAAGCACATGAACAACGAGAAGGGGAATTTTATCATGCTTAGTGGTGTAAAGCTAGAAAATTTTGGATTCAAATACATAGACTGATTCAGGCGATTTAAAAGTTTAATATACAATTAAGGCCAGAGGTCGATCCTTTGGGACTGATGAACAAACACTGGAGAAAAAGTCATAGAATTTTGCTTTCGTATACGATCATTTTATGCACAAAGATGGAAAGATTCAGTATTATCCACAGTGGAGGAATTGCTGGTGAAAGTGATGGAACTTGCTGAGATAGCTTAAATTGATTTCTTTTATTAGGAAAATGACAATAACTGCACTGTTAAAATACATTTCAATGACAATAACTGTTTATTGTTGACTAGAGATCCCTTGAGCACTTTTTGTGGAAAACATTAAAAAAATGAGCTTATGATTTGAGGATTAGACAGAAGAGAGACGTGTAACTTTAGAGAAAGAGGTAAATTTATAAGTGTACCTGTAACCACAGTAACAAAGATCAGAAACTACTTTTTTCTTTCTTTTCTTGTTTACTTTTTTCTTTTCTTGCATTTTAGCTTTCTCTTTGATTTCTTCCTCCCTTTTCCCCCTTGCTTTAACTTAGTTTGTATTAGTTTTTCTCCTTTTTAAAACTTTTGATAACATTATTAAAATAAAGAGTAGAAAATCAGAGAACTTGTCTGTCCCACATGGCTGTTCTTTTCTGAACTTAGTAATGGTTTAGGACTTTTTGCTACATTGTCAGGCAGGTGCATTTATTCTGCCTTCTCTGCCACATATTTTGCAGATACACATGATTTTGTATACGGTGTGATGGCAAGTCTAGTTAGTATGAGAGATTCTGTGTAAGGCTCTGAGGCTTTTGGTGTTTGAAAGACAGTAGATTTTTGTAAGGTAACAAATACATCAGGGTATATGTTTTCATAAGTGTGAATCTGTTCATGCAGTTGCATAATCTGAAATGTATTCTACCTCATGTAATTGTGAAAGATAGCAGTGCTTAAGGTACCTTAGGAATCTGGGTTATTGTTTTTCTGTAGCAACAAATTAACAAAATTATATTCCTGACATTTTGTAAGGTATATAAAGAATTTTTGAAGTCCCCTGCAAATTTAAAACAAAATTCCTAGGGATACAAATCAAAATTTTAGGATGCTCTCTCCCGTTTTTATTCGACCTGAAGGTCCACCTTTCTGTTCCATTTCTGTGTCATCTCAATAATCTTCTGGGAGCTTTATGTTCCTGATGTGCATGAACTGGGGAAAGATGCTTGGTGGCCTTGGTGCTTTCAAAATCTGCCTTCCAATTCTTATCTTCCTGTTACAGGATTTGCCCCAACACCTCCATATCTGCATAAATGAATACTCTGCTTAATTAAATTTTATCAGCTGTGTTTTCTTTAGGATGCCAGCTTCTTCCAGGAACCAGGAAAACCAGTCTTTTAACAATGAACAAATCTTAAATGTGAACACTCTGACCTCAATAACACTGACCTCTGACCTCCCTATCTGGTTTACTTGAATTGGAGAATTTGGCTTTATTGGAGGAATGAAGCAGGGATTGAGACTAATCCCATGTACTTAAGTTCTGAGGCAAACAATGTCCAGAGGAGGCATGTGGTGTATTTTGGCCTAAAAGTTGTACTGACAAACGCATAAGTGGTTGCACACCAGGCAATGAGAGGATGATTGTGCTTTGAGAAGACTTTGGTGAGAGGGAAAGCCTCAACTCAACCTCTCTGTGGCTTAGATTTATCATATTCTTATGCCATTTAACTCTTAAAGACCATGGCCCTTGTATAGAAACATTGGCTTTGTTTTCTGTGTTTCAGAGAGCAGATCAAGAGAGTGAAGGACTCCGATGATGTGCCCATGGTATTGGTGGGGAATAAATGCGACCTTCCTGCCCGGACTGTGGAAACGCGACAAGCCCAGGAGCTGGCTAGGAGCTACGGGATTCCATACATAGAGACATCAGCCAAAACTAGACAGGTATACTGAGGTTGTGGGGGAGAGCGGGGTGGGAAGCGCAAACCATGCAGACTCACTTTTTCCACTTTCACTCGAGGAAAGAATCTACTCCATGCTTGCAGGATGTAATCTTCGGGGTGTTTCTATGGTGAAAACGAAGCTATCTTCCAGAGAGTCTGTTGAACTTTTCATTTGTTGCCTTTGTAAGTCAGAGGAAGCTTTTTGGCTCATCTGCATTGGTTCTGCACTCAGCCCAAGATTTGCTGTATTGAATTCTTGGCCCTGAATTTGTAATGGCAACAAAGAAACTTACCAAAGCTTAGTTTAAACTCCACCTTTGCTGACTGTCTCTTCTGATAGAAAAATGTCCAACTCATGCCCCTCCAAGGAAATCACATATCTTTCTGAATTGTGTAAACAGATGGCTGTGCAGCTTGCTTTCTCTCTGTTTGTATAAGCCTATTGTGGTTGTCTGCCTTAACTGGGCTGGAGCTGGCCCTTAGCTCCATTGAGCCAATAATGTGCATTTACTGTTGGGTTAGTAGGGTTCCAGCTGGTAATTATTGAGCAGGTTGTGTAGTTTCTGCTAATGGATCCTGAGCATTAGGGAACAGAAGTAAAAATTACACCAAGTTCGGATTAAGTGTGGCTTTGTTCCGTTAAGATGATGCTAGGACATGACTGGCAAGTAGCCTGGTTTAGCAGTTGTCAGTATCAGTAACAAAGGCAAATGTTCAGCCAACAGTGATGGAGGTATTTCTGTGTTCTGCCATTTGTCCAAATTGTTCTGCCCAAGTGCATGTATTTGCTGCCAATTTAGGCAGTCTGCCCTCTGGGACTATGGTTTGGATTCAGAATAGGCACACTTGGTAAACAGTCATACCGTTGTCCCGTCTACCAATTCTGACAGTTATTTCTATAGCGTCTACCAGCTCACAATTACATGGTTTTGTTTTTTGTATTTTGAGGAGAAAGAGAGAGAAAGCTTCTATCTCTTTGAGTCAAATCCTATATTAGGTCTAGTAATGCATTCAGAACTGACCAGCAAATGGAAAACACATGTTTTAACCGGTCTTGGAAATACATGCACATTACATGATGTTTAAAGCACTTCATTGACTTGTTGCAGGGAGTCGAAGATGCCTTCTATACTTTAGTGCGAGAGATCCGGCAGCACAAACTACGTAAATTGAATCCCCCAGATGAAAGTGGTCCAGGCTGCATGAACTGCAAATGTGTAATATCATGACCAAGGTGAGTCACTGAGAGAAAAGGAGCAGTTTTGTTAGAAGAAAAAGAGGCTGCTCAGATTATATACCGAAAAACTGTTTCCTTTGAACCCATGCATGGCCTCCACCCCTCCTTTTCCCAGTGTTATTATGAGTCTGATCCCCTTCAAGAAGACGGAATGTATCTTGTCACTGGTTGCAAAAGTGGCCACTTCCTCAAAAGGAAGTCTATTTTTATTATAGTTCTTGAGGGGGAAAAATATTTTGAATTAGAACGCTGTCACGAATGAGGAGACATTGACCATCTTTTCTTTATCCATGAGGCCGATTTGAAACAGAATGCCTGTATCTGTATTTGCTTCTCTTCTAACTTGGATACCGCACTTTATATGTCTCCGTTTTTCTTGCTTTTATCACCTCCTGCTTTCCAAGTTTCTGGGTGATTTCTGTTGCTTTTCTTAGGCAAGGTTTGCACTGCTGCCCTCTCCATGCCTTAGTCCTCTCTTCCTCTGTGGTTAGGTGTCATATATATCTTCTAGCTCAGGCTACAGTTTCCATCATCCTAACTAGCATTGATGATTCTGAAGGGGAATGATGGTGGTTGTGGCTCCAGGTTTTGAATGGCCACCTTAGATAATACAGTGTGTTTCTCGTTTGCATGCTACACGAAGTCACTTTGAAGAGGCAAAGTTTGTCCTGGATCTAATAATAATAGAACAAAATGTATGTGTTGAGATATTTTATAGGGAAGTGTTAATGCCTGACATCACTCAAAATCCAGATGTTTAAATTTTATGCTCTGAAACCTGTACTGTACTGAGACCTCTGGTTGAAATACCAATAGATAACATATTGGAATGATTCCACCTTCCTCCAGTGTATTTGTTATTTAGTAGAAAACTAAGAGAAGAAAATGGCATTTGGAAGTACATAGTTTATAGAATTAGAAGAAAAGCTCTTCATTGCCAGAGCATCCATTTTTTATTCAGGAGTCAGGGGTCAATACATACACACACACGTAATTGTGATGGCTCAGTGGTTAAACCCACCCAGCTTGTCATCTGCACTCAAGGTTCAAGTCTCAAGCGCCATGTGACCTCCTGTTACTTGGCTCAGCTCCTGCCTACCTAGCAGTTTGAAAACATGCAAATGTGACTAGATAAATAGATACCACTTCATTAGGAAGGTAACAGCGTTTCATATGACTTTGACATACAGCCATGCTGGCCACATGACCATGGAAATGTCTTTGGACAACGCTGACATATATAGAGCCATAGATACATTCTCCTAAATTTCTAAACATGACTATTAAGATTCATAGATTTTAAAAGAATTTGTAAATAACAGATTATTCTGTGTAGCCTTGAATCTCAATGGAGAGAAGATAGCAGATAATCAGGAATCAGAGCAATTTACTCTTTCTATGGTTATACTATTTTTTTCTTTATAAAAAGAACACTTCCTTCCGAAAAAATTACAAGTGAATGGATGTAAAGTTTCATTAGTTGAGATCCCCCAGAAAGCCTCGTTTTTAAACTGTACTTAGCTCAGCTGCTATTGTTAAAGTGTGTGTGTGTGTGTGTGTGTGTGTGTGTGTGTGTGTATATATGTCCAGATGTGCAAATAATCCAGATGTTTCCGAATATTTCCTGTAGCCTGTGATGTGAGATGGGGTGGGTAGGGGTAACTTCCTGTGCTCTTACTGCTGAAACTTCAGATTAATCCCAAATGCTTTTTAAAATGCTTGGCCTAAGAGAGACGCTACTGCCAAAGGCTGAGGGGAGGAGAAAATCCAGTGTCAGCCAAGTGTGTCTTCATTCCTACATCCTTTGCAAATACTCACACTGTGTCCTGAAGGCAGAGCCTTGGCCTGCCTGAAATCTTCCTTTTCACTGAGGAGAACATAACTTGGCAATATTTATTTAGGTGTGGTTTGGGCTCCTTTAAGGAGAGAAAGGGAGTTGGTTTTCCCTTAACTAGTTATAAAGTGAGAGAGATCTGATTTTATGTCAAACAGGATCTTTCCAAAAAGACACCCCCCACCCTCTCTCTAAGGCTTGGAGAATTATGGCAAGGTGGAAATAAGGCAAAAAGCGTAACACATAATAGACACAAAGGTGGTGGCTATGGGGTTCTTCATGTTCCTCTCTGTTCACACTGCCTTTGTATCTGCTCTTACTTTCTCTTTGTTCTGTACATGCATATGTATTTTGTTTTATTTACACAACACATTTAGAAATTTGCCTACATTATTTTTATAACTTAAGGAGGTAAATACACCTAATGCTCCTTCCTCCTGTTTTTTTTTTTACCACAACAACATCCCTGTGAGGTGAGTTGGGCTGAGAGTGAGTGCCTGGCCCAAAATCACCCTGCTGGCTTTTATGGCTAAGGCGGCAGGACAGTCTCCTGGTTTCTAGCCTGGTGCCTGAACCTCTGTACCAAATGTTGTGGTCCGCCGGCAGCCTGCGGAGACGGCAGCAGAGTCGGACAGTGGGGAGGAACATGGGTCAGTCCGGGAGTCCGGGGAGGACTCAGATGAGGGTCCTGCGTCTGATACAGAGATAGGGCCAGGGCCATCTGGGAGTTATGTGCGGAGCCTCCAGAATCTGACAGCAGCGAGCCTGTTCCCAGTATGCCTGTGCGCAGAGCTGCCAGAAGGCAAGAACAATTAAGACAAAAGTGGCGACTCGGGAGTAAGGCTTGGAGGTGAGTGGCCCTCCCATAAGACATAAAGGAGGAGCAAAAGGACAGGAATCTTTGCAGGAAGCAACTTTGTTCATACTGGTGGGTTTGAAACCTGAAGCTCGGTGTTGAATTTGTGTTCCGTTTTGGCCTCATATAACTAATTGGACATTTAGTCGTTGGTAACATTTTAAAGGTGTGTGCTTGACTTATCCCGAAGAACTTTGGCAGACTTCCATGGGACTATTTACAAACTGTTTCAGACTTATTACAGTGACTATATAATATATAGAATATATAATGACTAATTCACAGCTATTGAAATAAAGAAAAAAGGGTTTTGGGACTAACATTTGTTTGTTAGTGTCTCCATAAGCCTTGGTCAGAACACCAAACTGGGTCTTGTGTTCTTTAGGGTGAAACCACTTGAAGGAGACATTATCATTGTAACAGTCTTTGCGCTAGTGTTTGAGCCATTTCTGCTCACATGAGCTTGGGAAGAGTTTGGCACAGGGCACATTTGAGCGCCCGATATCCACATGTGCTGTGAGAAGAATATGCTTTGAGCTTAGCAGCAGCACAGGTGACTCAGGCCTAGGAGGAGTGCCTTATTATGTCAGTTTGCCTTGAGGAAGTAGAGCACTCAGCTATAGGTATGCATATTTTACATTTCTTTGGGACTGAATCAACTGTATGCTGTACTTGAGCTCTTCTCCCATTTCATAGCTACCCAAGGTATGCCATTGCAACAATATAAAGGATTATATTAGGTTTACTTGTCTTCTACCATGTTCTGATCTCACACTAAATAAGAATAATAATATAAAAGATAAACTAGGTGTGATGTACAGTATATACTTGTCTCTGCACTACTGAACCCAAATAAGCATTCAAATACATTTATTTTATTTATATCCCACTTTTATAAAAATAATAAAGGTGGGATATAAATAAAATAAATGTATCTGAATGCTTAACAACTCAAGGTGGCACATGTAATGTTCCTTCCTCCTATTTTCCCCACAACAACAACCCTGTGAGGAAGATTGGGCTGAGATGGGTGAGTGACCCAAAGACACCGAGCCAGCTTTCATGCCTACCTAAGGCAGGATTAGAACTCATCGCCTCCTGGTTTCTAGCCTGGTGCCTTAACCACTGTACCAATTTGGTTGATGATTCTGTTCTCTCTTATTGTATCAAATCACCAGTGGCTGGGTGAGAAACAGCTATGCTTTCAAATTTATGGTGGACGAAAGTGTGTACCGATGACATTTCACAGAGCAGGGCTGGCATGTAAATAGAAGTTTGAGAGCTTTTGTGCTCTGCATAATAAATAGGGACACTGGATTTGCCCACCTGAAAGAGTTCTTATATCTAAAACAGAAGAAGATAATATAGATTGGATTGCATATACAATATTGTACTATAAGCAAATGAGTATATGCTACTAATCCAATGAATTCATTTAACCTAGGGAACTCAGGAATATGAAGGCTTATAATTCCCACTCTCTCTATGTAATCCACTTGTTTTGTCAATCAGAACACTGATGTAATCACAGCATCCTCTTGAGGTTAGTCAATAGTACTACAGTCCCTTTTTCACTTCAACAGTGACATTAGTAAGTAAATTTCCACAGTGTCAGCAAAAGACAGTGGTTTTTTGCTGCTGAGCAGTGATCAAGGAAGTGGTATCGTAATGAGGTCCGTTGTTTGCATATGGTTAAGCAATCACAATTAATGACTGTTAATTGGTGTAACAGTTTGGAACCCTCAGAGGCAATTGTCAGGGTTTCCCTATTCACCAGTAGGTGAGTGGAGAGGTAGATTTGACAGCCTTAAGAAGTCTTGAATGAAATCTAAATTTGGTTTATGTAGAAAACAAAATGTAGGACTTTTATAGTTACTACATAAGTTCAGCGGATGCAAAATATACTTGGCACTATAAGTTGCCACTAGCTCTCATTTTGCAACTCCATAAATGTAGTGCTCTGTGAAATGCTACTGTCGGAGAGGATAATGCTTCCATTCTAAGCATTTACCACTTGCTGCTGAGCTACTGCTTTGAAATCCCATGTTAAGTGCAAAACTGCCTGGGGGTCTGTTATCCACAATCAAACTATTGAGGTCAGTTCTTGAACAAGAGCAGCAAACAGTCAGATTCAGAACTGCCATCCTGTGAAGCAAACACACACTGGTGCATGGTTTTATCCCTCACTCCTGGTTAGCAAATTCTGAGGTCCATTTAACGAAGCTTTTTAAAAAATATACATGTATGTGTGTAGTTATTCAATATGGTCCAACCACTATTGGCATTTTAAATTGATCCCTCTGATTTACTTTTTTTTCTGAACTAATAGTTTTATTGTTTTGTGTACTATATTGATCTGTTTTAATTTTTGTACTCTGATATTGTTGAACTGTATAAATAAGTAACTTTTTGTAAAGGCTTTTCAGCTTATTTTACTCGTTGCATTTTTTTTTTCTGTTTTCAGCAGACCCGACTATGACTTAGAAGGCTTTCTACTGTGTGTAGCATGGAAATGGAGGCGATGTGAAAATAGAATCAAATGGATTCGGGGAAAGGAGAGATGGGGTGGTGTCTGCAGGTCCCCCCCCCCCCCAGGGGCTCCACGTGGACAGTTTTAAAAATTCATCAAGGCCTGCAAGGAACTGTTTTATTGTTTAAATCCCACCCTTCCCCCCCCTTTTTTTTTTTTGCCTTTCCCCCCCTTCCCGGCAGTGTGTACAAAGCCACATAAGGAATTGCAGTAAGTTATTATTTGGTGGTCTTGACACTGGTTTTGCCATCTCCATCATTGTTCCAAGGGATTGATTGACAGTGTCTGAAAGGAGGCTCATGCAGGGAAAGACCCACCTCGTTTCTTCAATCAGCTTGAGCTCAGCTCACCAAGGGCAAAGCCTGGATGCATCTGCAGGTGGACTGGCTCCCCACTTTGGTGCTGCAAGGCATGTAAGGCAGGGAGCAAAGTCTTGATTCACAGCTTGAAGGGCTCCATCTGAAAGGCTAGCGGTTGTCAGCGGAAGATCAAGGCTTTTTGGAAGGTACTGCCAAGAAGATTCACTTGCCCGTCATTCCACTGGTGGGAGCGGAATATGCTGTCATTTTCAAGAAGGGGGTAGGAAGGGCATAAAAATAATTACACTTGTAACTTTTCCATATGTCTCTGCCCATTGATTTATCTCTCTGTATACTGGGAAGGTAATTAATGCCCCTCTCAACTTTTGGCTAAGATTGTCTCCCCTGTGCTAGAACTACCAAGTCGTCGTTCTTGCACAGTAGATGGTCAGTCTGGTGGACATTCTCTTCAGGCCTACAGTATCCTCAAGAGTACTTGAGAAAGGGGGTGGAGGGGGAAAGAGGGGTGCCAGTTTTTAGATGTTTGCCTTTTTTTCTTCTTCCTTTTTTATGGTGTCGGGAGAACCTATAAAGGTATAAATTGACTCTACCTGAACCTGTTGATGGAGACTGGAGGATCTTGGATTTTTCTAACTCTAAATTCAATGAGCCCAACCTTTTTTGCTCATTCCCTGCTCCATCAAAGGGAATTAGTCCTTCCATATATCTTTAGGAGACGGGAAACTTTTTGTATTTTATTTTCCACAACCTTTGTGTCTTACAGGCTGATTGGGAAGAATTATCCAGTGGGCAAGAAAGGTTGACTTGTATGTAGGCTTTCCTGTTTGTTGTTGGCATGGTCTTCCCCTCCCCTCCCCACGCCCCCCCCCCCAGCCTCCCCAAGATTTTTATGATTGTTGCCTGTGTCCAGGCTGTCTTCCCTGGTGTGCTTATTGCAAAATTTGTGTACTACTTGGAGGTGGAGCTGGTCTTTGGAGACATGGGAGCCTATTTCCATGTCCCTGCTCGATTCTCCACTCTCCCTTGTAGCCGCTGTGCCTACGTAATTGCATGCACAGCTCCGAATCCTGCTGTCAGGGAGCAGTTCCTCTGTATGTCTGTGACTGTACTTGCTGTAATTCAAAGCTCTTCTGGTAAGGTACCACAACCAGACCCCTCATCACAGGCTGAATTAAAGAAAACCAGCCTAATAATTAGATAACAAGCATGATTTTTTAAAAAGTTGTTGGGAGTATTAAAAAGAGAACCCAAACCTAGCCTTAAATGTCATTAAAAGTGATTTTGTTCTCAAAAGTGTTGGTGTGTATACTGTACCTTTTGGGATTTATGTTCCTTTTATTCAAACTCCCTGTACTACTTTGTCACCCCTGCACTGTATCTCAGGATGAAAATAGTTATGGATATTTAAACCCCAGGAAACAGCTTCGTTGTCCACACATTTTTGCCACTGGAATACATGTCTTAAAAAGTAAACATTGGTTCATTTTTTTTAGTTGCTTAAAATGCCTGATTCATTTCTGGATGGATTTACTATTTGAACTGTTTTTCTCAACACCCGGGATCCAGGCTGTCTTAATAGCAGGATGGCTTATTGTAGATTTTCACCAGATATTGGGAGAGGCCTCTGTTTGTTATAATGATGGTATCAAGATGAAACATTGACAATGGTACTACAGCATCAGATCTACAGGCAGCTTATTCAAAAAGCTTATCTCTTGGGGTGCCCCCCCCATTATTCCAAGAACTAATTTCTCATAATGGGATTGCAATTGGAGATAGGAGCTTGATCCATTGATTTCCACCCATATAATTCAAAAGAACAATTAACTAACTGAGATGCTTTCTAATTTGTTGTAGTACCTTAACAGGGCAAAGTGAATTTTAACAGAAATTGATAACTGCACTTCTATGCAAAGGTAGATGCCCAGGAATGTCCTAAGGGAGTAACTATAAAGCAGCAGGATTTATTCGCTGTTCCCTTTTGTTAAAATAGCCCATGCTTTTCATGGGTTATGAGCTATCCAGAGAAATTGGCCAAAGCAGAAAGACGGCCACTTCACAAATTCTTACTCTTGGCTTGGATTCTATCGCTACTTGTAATGGCTAACGAACTTTAAGCATCTGTTTACATGAAAAAAAGGAGTGTTCCTGAATTAAGGCATTGAAATCTAATAATAAACCAGATCAAATCCAACATGTTGTGGCTGTTAAACAGTCTCTGGTTAACTATGCATAATTAATTATCTGCCCCAATGCAACCTCAATAGGGATTTTTCAGCACACACCTTTTTTCAGAACTATAATTATTGGTGGCTCCACTCAGTCCTGGTTTATCAATTCTACATTTGGGCAGATAGTAACATGAAAAAACAAGCTGAGTTCAAAACTAAAGTAGGGTTTGGATCATCCCTTTGTGTATTTTAAAACCACAGTATTTTTTTAAATGCTTAATTAAGGCATAGTAATTTAGCATAGACTTAACAGCCTCAAAAGTCTATGCTATTAAAATTCAGCAGGCAGGGAAATTCTGTCTTGAGATACTGGAATGCTGTTGGTTCGTTTATTTTTGCTACTGCTATGCCCATGTAATTAAAGAACTTTGATTATTTTTTAATACTGTAAATTTTTTTAAAATGGTACAAAGGGTGAAGCAGTTAAAGCCACTACTAAATTCTAATTTCTCATTAACTGGTATAGCTGATTTTACAGTGCAGCACCTGGAGGGCCATGGTACCTATTTCTTAGGAGAAAAGATAGAATAGGCTGTTACGGCATAAATGTTTTATACTACCATTCTTTACACCTAGGATAACCAAACTTCAGCATTTTGTGTTTTGGAAGGCCCAATGCTTTCCCATCAGAATAGCCATTAAATCTGTCCACCACTTTTCCCACTTTTAATATAAAAGGATACTTCAGGTTCCTTCCCTCTATTTTTCAAGCAATCTGCCCTCCTACCTCTGGCCTTCTTGCTGCACACCTGTCAATCTGCAACACCATTGCTCCAAACAGATATTTCAAATTGTTAATTCATGAAAATACTTGGACACTTTTTAAAAACACAATGATAACTTTTGTAAACAAATTGCATTGTTACATAACCATCATCCATATTTGGGAATCTGTGCGTTGTTACATAACCATCATCCATATTTGGGAATCTGTTTTGTTTCTGCAAAGGTAAATCAATTGAATTGTACATAGGATTGCAGCCTCAAAAACAAGTCTAAAACATGTGCACAAAAACATTTTGGGGCAGAAGTACATGTGGGTATGTATTATAAAAGCACATTAGTGTGAAAAATGGGATTTGCCTGTATTATAAACAGACACGACCCAGGCTTATCCACAATATTTTAACAAAAACTGAAGGGACATGTTGGTAAGTTAAAAAAAATAGGTATGCCACATTTTGGCTACCAAAATTTGGCAAATAAATGCAGAAAATACATAAAACGACTCAAAGAAAAAAAATACAGAATTATATTTACAGCTGAATGAAGCAGCAACTACTTATCTGGGAAATTGGTTTTATCCAGGTTTTTCTCCCTAACGTAGGTTCATGTTACTTTTCTATTTAAATATGTTAACTTCTGTTCTCTGTAGTGTCAAGAAACACTAGCTTGTTCTTTTTAAATATTTTACTAAACATGCCCTTATTTTTATCTTCTGTAAGTTAAGGCCATGTGTCAATGTAGCTGTGATTTTACACAGCAAGTTCAGTGGATATAAAAATCCTTATTAAAATGCCATGTTTTGAGATGTAAAAAAAATCAGACCAAAACAAATCACGTTGTTTCCACTTTTAATATAACATAATCTACAATTCAATTGAAAAACAAACTGAAATATTTTAGGAGGGAAATAATTTAAAAATTAATTTGGTTGCATAAAGATGCACATCCTTAAACTAATAGCATTATTGAAGCACCTTTTGATTTTATTGACAACATTGTCTTTTGGGTAAGAGCCTATCAGCATGGCACATCTTGCCTTGGGAATCTGCCCATTCTTCCTTGCAAAAGTGCTCTGAATCTATCAGATTGCGAGGGCACTTCCTGTGCACAGGGCCTCTTCACGTCACCCCCGAGATTTTCCATTGGGTTCAGGTCTGGGCTCTGACTGAGCCATTCCAAAATTTTGGTCATCTGGTAAAGTTATTCTTTTGATTTGGAGGCATGCTTTGAGTCATTTGTAATTTTGAAGGGTAAAATTCACCATCTCCAGCAGAGGCCTGAAGGTTTTGTGTCAACACTGATGTTTAAAACTATTCATAATTTCCTCTACCTTGACCAAAGCCCCATTTCCAGCTGAAGAAAAGCCGCCCCAAGGCATAATACTGCTACCACTATGCTTCACTGTGGGGACGGTATACTTTTGCGGATGTGCACTGTTGTTTTTGCACCACAGTTTCGGGAATTATGGCCAGAAAATTCAACTGCATTAGACCGGAGCACATTTTCTTACGTGCTTTTGTCATACTTGATGCAAATTTTTGCGAAACGTAGCCAAGCTCAGGGTTTTTTTTACTTTGCAAGAAAAGGCTTCAATCTTGCCACCATACCCCACATCCCAGACATATAAAGAGTACAGAGATTGTTCTCACCCTAATATTGCTATAGGCCTCTTGGCAGCCTCAGGGACCATTTTCTTCTTTTTTAAAAAATTCATTTCGGAGGGACATCCAGTTCTTGATAATTTCACTGTTGTGACATAGTCTCTCGATTTGTTGATAACTGTCTTCACTGTGTTTTGTGGTAAATTCAATGCCTTGGATATTTTTTTGTTCCCTTTTCTTGATACATTTCAACAATGAGATCCCTTTGAAGGGCTTGAACAGTTATTTTAATTGATGGCAGGTATGTACTGACTATTTTTAACATCAGTTTGAATGTGATTGGTTAATTCCGAACATAGGCACTTATAAGGGGGTGTTCTGACCCAAGCCTTGTTCAGATCAAATACAAAGTATGTATAAAAGCAAACCTTTTTAATACGGTGCTGTGAATTCTATGCATTCACAGCCAAGAGTCATTTAAATCTAAGTGCAGATAAATATCTAAAGCCAGAAGTTTCAAAAAAACAAACTGGAGTAAGCAGGGCTTCAATGAGGACTCTTGAGTAGAAAGAACTATGCTTCCTGCAAAGAAGCCCACCCCGAAGGCTGGCTTTTATCCCTTATGGGAGGGGCCATCACATTCCAGCCTTACTCCCAAGTGGCTGTGCTGCTTCAACTGCTCTTTCCTTCGAGCAGCCCTGTGCCCGCGCGCACTGAGCACAGGCTCCCCGGTCCTCGTCGTCACTGCTGCCAGACTCCACAACCTCCGAAGGCAGCACCCCACTCTCCAATAGTCCTGGCCCCGTCCCTGCATCACAATCAGGCCCCTCATCCAAGTCCTCAGTCAGAGACCTCAGCCATCCATACCTGCTGCCGCTGAACCACAACAGGAGGTGCACACACTTATGCAACATTGTTTTATCCCCCCCCCACACACACAAAAAAAGATTCAGTTTCAGTTGAATTATACAGCTTACATTAAAGGTGGAGAAACTTCTGAAGTGATTTATCTTGGTCTTTTTGTTTTTACATTTCAAAAACCTAGCATTTTAACAGGAATGTGTATACATTATAGCCACTCTAGGCACCTGTTTACAGACCATACTCTGCCATTTATGTCTGGGTTCACAAAAAGTTGCTGACAAGAATAGAAACAGCATTAAGCCAAACTATATGTGTTGAGTATGCAATTGTATGCAGAAGCGGAGTATTCCCAAACAATGGTTTGAAAAACATAGCTCCAGCAGACCATAAAATACGGGCAGGAAACAGAGAGAAAAGTATTACAATGGCTTTCGCAGCCCCCAGACTTGAATTTTATTGAAAACCTGTGGGCAGATCTCAAACATTCAATCAATGGAAGGAAACCTAAAAATATTTCTGAGCTAGAAGAGTGAGGAAAAATGAGGAGAAAGGCTTTTAACTGGCTGCAGGAAATGCTGGAAAACTTATTTCTGGCAAAGGAGGTGAAGTGGGATCTAGGTGGTACCTTGACCTTGAATCATACAGCGAATAGACCTTCAAGTTGGCAGAAACATGGATGAGCTTTCTGTTCACTTACGAGGTTTATTGAAAAAAAACTGATCCCAGGTACCGAAACATTTGCATACAATTGTGAAATGTATTGCATGGAAGGGATTGCAGATTAACTTTTTACATGGCTGTATTGTATAGGGGTCTCAAAACGTTTTCAAGCTGGGAAACTTGCCTATGGAAATGAACTACCATTATTGTCCACCAACAGACAATTATCTAAAAATATTCCTTGAAGTATCCTGATTTAAGTTTCCATTCTTTCTCACAGAACTGTGCATTTAAGAGTGGAATTATCGCAGTTGCCACATGAATGATACAACTCTGGCCTTTGCAGAAAGTGTCACGGTCAAAACTATTATCTTCCTGCAGAATAAACCTGAAAACATGAACATTGTGCTGACAAGCATGTTTCATTTTATGATTCCCAAGAAAATGTTTGAATACAACTATAGCGGCAAGCAATGATCCAACGGTTTCCAATCTTTCCTTGAAGCATCAACTTGTCTACAGCGGTGGTTATAGCAGATTGTCCCATGGCTAAATTGTCACAACCCAAATGCTTGTTAAATCAAACCCACAAGATGAGCAGGAATGGATCACACTCAGACTGCCATCCCTTCAGTGGTGGCATCTGGCTGGGTAGTTTAGCTCATTTTTGAGTGTACCAGGGTACAGACTGGCAACTTGCCAAAAATTCCCAGAGAACAAGTAAATCCATATGCAGCCATTTGTTCTAAAGTCTGTTATTACAACCGCGTAAAATTTTTAACATCCTGTGCAAGCCTTTTGGATCTTTTTTTTTAAAAAAAAAAACTAATAGTACTTTACCTTCCCCGAGCACAGACATAAAAGAGAATGACGGCAAGACTACATCACACAGAATTAGCACAGAAGCTCTCTTGAGGTGTCAAGAGTAGCTGTTAACATGGCACATTTTAGGGTTACAGTGGCAGCAGACGCATCAAAATGCACAAACGTATCAAAATGCACAAACGTGGACATCTACTCAACTGCAGGGCAGCAGTTGGGAAAGTGTCCCGAATCCAGAGTTGAATCTCTGCCTTGTGCCTGCACTGTTCTGATCCAAGAGTTGGAGCTGGTCTGCCAAGATAACATTTTAGGCTTTAAAACAAAATACATCTTAGCTCTACTTCGGGAATCGGGGGTTCCCTGATGTTTTCGTGAGTTTCTGAAGAAATACTGCCCGTTTCTCCTACTAAGGAACATTTAGACACATTTGGTGCCAGGGCTGGTCAAAGTTTGCTTCCATGCAGTTCGGCTGGCTTTGTTCTTAACAGCTTGTTACACCTCCCCAAAGTGGAGATGATGCCTTCTTAGTGCAATAGCCTGGGGCATAAACGGCATCAAAACCAAAACTCAACAAACTGCCTCATAGAGGATTAATCGGATCAAAACCAAACCAGGCATTACTGAAGTCTAGACAGAAATCCATATAACTCCTTTAATATAGTAACCTCGTTTGTGGAAGGATATTGTGGAAGTAAAAGGCTTCCACACCTCTAATGCTGTCGGAATATCTTTTCTATCTCAACTAGCCTCTAGTGATGAAAAACCCCAAAATAGGGCTTGCATGATTAAACATCATGCTCTCACTGGAGTGCCTGGGTTGGGTCTTCTTAATACCCTATTCAGTCTGTTTAATCCTCATTCTTAGGCACTCCAGCTGAATTCCTTAGCCCAAGAGTACACTTGAGATTTACTGAACGTTTCCCTGGGGTGGTTGACTGGGTTGTGGTGAAACCCTTTCAAAGATTCACTCTATCCTGTAACCCACAAGTTAAAAGATGGTTGGAAAACTGCGAAGTTCAGCTGCTCCCCTCATCACTTGGAATATCACCCCAGCATGGGATACTGTTGTTCTCATGGGGCATGCTTGTTGGTTTAAAGTGGCATAAACATGGCATTTAGGTCCACCCCCACCCCGCCTTTGCAAAGACTGCTTTCAAATTGTCTTTGGAACAAATGGGGAA